TGTCCAGTTCTCCCAGCACCATTTGCTAAAAAGACTTTTTTCCATTGAATACTCTTTCCTGCTTTGTCAAAAATTAGTTGGCCATACATTTGTGGGTCCAACCCTGGGTTCTCTATTCTATTCCATTGGTGTATGTGTCCATTGGTGTATGGTGCCAATACCATACAGTCTTAATGATTACAGCTTTGTAGTAGAGGCTAAAGTCTGGGATTGTGATGCCTTCCACTTTGGTTTTCTTTCTCAATATTATTTGGCTATTCGGGGTCTTTTGTTGTTCCATACAAATTTTAGGATTGTTTGTTCTAGCTTTGAGAAAAATGCTGGCACAATTTTGATTGGGATTGCATTAAATGTGTAGATTGCTTTGGGTAGTATTGACATTTTAACAATAATTATTCTTCCAACCCATGAGCATGGAATATTTTTCCATTTCTTTGTGTCTTCTTCAATTTCCTTCATAAGTTTTCTATAGTTTTCAGCATACATATCTTTTACATATTTGATTAGGCTTATTCCTAGGTATTTTATGGTTCTTGGGGCAATTGTAAATGGGATCCATTTCTTGATTTCTCTTTCTGTTGCTTCATTATTGGTGTACAGAAGTGCAACCAATTTCTGTACATTGATTTTGTATCCTGCAACTTTGCTGAATTCATGTATTAGCTCTAGCAGCTTTTTGGTGGTCTTTCAGGTTTTCCATGTTTAACTTCTTCTTTGCCAATGTGGATGCCTTTTATTTCATTTTGTTGTTTGACTGCTGAGGCGAGGACTTCCAACAGTGTGTTAAACAATAGTTATCCACATTATTTAGAATGCCTGACAAGACCAGCCCATGGCAACTCTACCATTCTTCTTTACCTACAGCTCATTCCCTCACTTTTTCTTTTCAAACTCATATAACAATATTGTTTTTGAAAAAACAATTTTATTTTAAAAGTAAAATAAGTGGGCTAATTTTTGTGTAGAAAAAAAAATGCACTTGCTTTAACATGCATCCATGTTATCTTGAAAGTTAGGCAACAAACAGTTCTTTGTGTTTGCCTCTGGGGAGGGAAACTGAGAATCTAGAGGACAGAGCAAGGGAGATTTTCCAAGGTATGCCTCTTTATATCTTAATAACTTATATCAATAAATATAATCTCTATTTAAAATGTAATTTTTAGGGGTGCCTAGGTGGCTCAGTCGGTTAAGCATCTGACTTCAGTTCAGGTCATGATTTCACAGTCGTGAATCTGAGCCACAAGTTGGGCTCTGTGCTGACAGCTCAGAGCCCGGAGACTGCTTCGAATTTTGTGTCTCCCTCTCTCTGCCCTTCCCCAGCTTGCACGCGTGCTCTCTCTCTCAAAAATAAACATTCAAAAAATTTTTAATTAAAATACAATTTTTAAAAGACATAATGGGGTGCCTGGGTGGCTCAGTCGGTTGAACGTCCAACTTCAGCTCAGGTCATAATCTCATGGTCAGTGGATTCAAGCCCTGCACTGGGCTCTGTACTGACAGCTCAGAGCCTGGAGGCTGCTTCAGATTCTGTCTCTCCCCCTCTCTCTACTCCTCCCCCACTCACGCTCTATTTCTCAAAATTGAATAAATGTTAAAAAAAAAATTTTTTTTAAGACATGAGTTAAATTCCCTACTCACCCCCTCATTTCACCCTTCACAAGTAGTCACTGTTGGCAGTTACATTAAAGGTTTTTCTTTACATGTTGACATATTTCATCCCAAGATAGCTTTGAGCAGTAACTATCAAACTAATCTGGAGTTATATGCTACTGAGAATACATTTTAAAAATTGGGTTAATGGGGGGCGCCTGGGTGGCGCAGTCGGTTAAGCGTCCGACTTCAGCCAGGTCACGATCTCGCGGTCCGTGAGTTCCAGCCCCGCGTCGGGCTCTGGGCTGATGGCTCAGAGCCTGGAGCCTGTTTCCGATTCTGTGTCTCCCTCTCTCTCTGCCCCTCCTCCGTTCATGCTCTGTCTCTCTCTGTCCCAAAAATAAATAAACGTTAAAAAAAAAATTAAAAAAAAAATTGGGTTAATGGAGTTATATTTCTTCTTGAGATAACTTGGGATATGATAGAGTCATGAAGCCAGTAAAGAGAACCAACTTTATAGGAAATAAGATCCTACATAGTACTGCTCCACTGGTCCCTGCATGACACCTTCAGGGTCCTTCCCTTTTATATATACATATGTTGGTGTCCTGGCCAAAACTGTAATAAAATTCCAAACCATGGTATTCCAATACACTGGACCAAGTCCAAAAACAGCTACCGCAATTAATTATCTTTCAAAATTAAAAACAAAAAGTATACAGAGGTAAATGTATGGCATAATTGTAAGATTACACGTGATCTTTCTCCAAAAAACATGCATGAGCTTATATAACAGAAAGTCAGGTAATGAAAATTACCCAGGATAAAAGCACCCTAAAAAAGTAACTATCATGTTGGCACATTTTCATCAAAACTCTCTTTTGTAATTTTCATTCTGAAATAACAGTACAAAGAATTTCTATATACACTTTACCCAGATTCCCCAACTGTTGACATTTTACTACATCTGCCATGTTCTCTCAAAATATATGCAAAAACAAAATATATACAATAAAAACATAGAGAAATACTAAGTATTAGTGGTTTTCCTGAACTATTTCAGCCTAAGTTACAGATATGATACCCCTTTATATTAAATATGTACGCCTAAATATTTTCTAAGAACGAGGTCACTTATATAATTATCAAAATCAGGAAATTAATATTGACACTGTATTATAAACTACAGATTTTATTCACATTTTGCCAATTATTCCAATAACGTCCTTTATTAAAAAAAATATTCTGGTCCATACCCAATGCAGGATCATATGTTGCATTTAATTGTCATACCTCATTAGTCTCCTTTAATCTGGAACAGTTCCTTGGATTATCGCTCATTGTCTTCCATAACCTTCACATATTTAAAGAGTACAAGCCACTTACATTGTAGAATGTCCCTCTTGACATTTAGACTTGTCTGATGTTCCCCCATGATTAGATTCAAGTTGTGCATTTTTGGCAGGAATACCACAAAAGGGAAATTTTGTCCTTCTTAATGTAAGTAGGCATATGGTACCAGTTTGTCCCATTACTGGTAATGTAAATTTTGATCATTTAAGATGGCATCTGCCAGGTTTTTCACTGTTAGTATTAAGGTTAGTATTTTTAACATTGTATTAAGTAATTAATGGGGAGATACTTTGAGGTTATGCAGACTTCTATTCATCAGATTCACCCAGTAGTTGTAGCATCCCTTGATGATTGCCTTAATCCCAACTGTTTGTGAAATGGTGATTTGTGTAACTTCCATCTTCCTTCTATAGTTATTAGTTGGCATTCAACTGTAGGTAAGCACTTTTCCTTTGTTGTTTGTTAGTATGGATCAGTGATTCCTGTTATGCCATGGGTTATGATCCATCATCATCATTATTTAAAATACTTTGATGCTCCAATTGTCCCAGATTCTATCAGTGGTAGAATCTTCAAAGAGATATCAGCTATCTCTTCAAACTAGCTCCTGTATCATTTCAACATGGCCCCATTATTTTTTGAGCAATTCCTTACTTTCTGCAACAAGGTGCTCTGGGCTCATCTTTTGTTGTTGTTTTCATTGTAGTAAGAATACATAACACGAAATCTACTTTCTTAAATTTTTAAGTGCACAATACTATACAGGTGATTACTTGTATGATATTGTACAGCAGATCTCTAGAACTTATTTATCTTGTATAACTGAAACTTTATACCCAGTGGATAGCAACTCCCCGATTCTCCCTCCCTCCAGACCAGCCCCTGGCATCTACCATTCCGCTCTCTGCTTCTGAGTGTGACTATCTTAGGTCCCTTATGGAAGTGGAATAATGCACTGTCTGTCCTTTTAACTGGCTTATTTCACTTAGCATAATATCCTCAAGGTTCATCCATGTTGCACATGGGAGGATTTTTAAGGCTGAAAAATATTCTATTGTGTGTATACAGCATATTTTCTTTACCCATTTAACTATCAATAGACATTTAGATTGCTTCCACATCTTGACTAATAATGTGAATAATGCTGCAATGAACAGAGAAGTGCAAATATCTCTTTGAGATCATGTTTTCAATTCTTTTGGAAAAAAAATCTGGAGTAGAACTTCTGGACCATACAACAGCTCTATTTTTAATTTTTTGAGAACCATCATACTGTTTTCCATAGCAGCTGCACCATTTTTCATTTCTGCAAAAAGTGTACAAGTATTCCAATTTCTCCACATTCTCACCAATGAGAATAGCCATCTAAAGAGGTGTAAAGTGTTATCTCACCGTGGTTTTGATTTGCATTTCCCTAATGACTAGTAACGTTGAGCACCTTTTCATGTGCTTTTTCATGTGCCTTTTATGTATCTTCTTTGGAGAAATGTCTATTCAGGCCCTTTGCTCATTTTTTAATCAGATTATTTGGTTTTTTGCTATTAGGTTGTAGGAGTTCCTTATATATTTTAGGCGTTAACCCTTTAGTAGGCAGAGGGTTTACAAATCTTTTTTTCCCATTCCATAAGTTGCCTTTTCACTCTGTTGTTTCCTTTACTCTGCAGATGCTTTTTATTTTGATGTATCCAGGCTCATCTTATAATTTTCCTGTTCCAGCTGTGGAGTTGACCATTCCTCCTAGAAGTCATGGTTCCTTTTAGCGAATGATATTTAGAAACCAGATCTAGACACTAGATTTTGCTACTGGGTCTTCCAATCTTTTCCCATATGGATTTTCTTAGTCATAATGACTAGCTAGTTGCAAAAAAGTAAATCTTATGATTTTATTTTTAAATATTTTTCCATATTAACATAACTTCACAAAATTTTTTAATGGTTGTATAATATTTTCTTGAGTGGAAGTAATATAACACATCCTTAGTTTGCTTCTATTTTTCACAATTGAAAAACAAGCCTGAAATAAACATTTCCATGTACAGAAAAAAGCGTTTTCATACTCAGGATTAAAAGCTTATTTATTTGGTGAAAGGCTATAATTCGTTTAATAGCTCTTGATACCATTTACAAAAACACTCTCAAAAAGGAGTGCCCCAAACCACAATGCATGAGACCATAATTTTTCTTTATCTCACATTTACTTCTACTGGGTATTATCATTAAACTTTTTTTCTTTGCTATTTGAGAAAAATATATGCATTTCTTACAAGTTGTATCTCCTACTAACAGGTGCAAAGTAAGATTACATTTGTAGAATAATTTAATCCACACCCTATGATTTATCATTTCTGTGAGCTAGGAACCTAAATTACAGAAAGGAGGCTTGTTCAAAGTCATACACCTGGGGCGCCTGGGTGGCGCAGTCGGTTAAGCGTCCGACTTCAGCCAGGTCACGATCTCGCGGTCTGTGAGTTCGAGCCCCGCATCAGGCTCTGGGCTGATGGCTCGGAGCCTGGAGCCTGTTTCCGATTCTGTGTCTCCCTCTCTCTCTGCCCCTCCCCCATTCATGCTCTGTCTCTCTCTGTCCCAAAAATAAATAAAAAACGTTGAAAAAAAAATTTTCAAAGTCATACACCTAATTATAGTATAATGTTTAAAAGAAGGGACTCTGGGACCAACTATGTGGGTCTGAATCCTGCTCCACTGCTAACCAGTTTTGTAACTGTAGGAAAATTATTCGAAGTCTTCATCCCTCAATTTCCTCATCTATAAAATGGAGATGATAATAGTATTTACTTCATAAGGCTATTATGAATATTAAATGAATTAGAAGTACTGTGGAAAAACACTTAAGAGTAACATCTACCACACAAGTGCTACCTCAGTGTTAGCTATTCTTTTTTTTTTTTTTAATTTTTTAAAATGTTTATTTACTTTTGAGAGAAAGAATGAGAGAGACAGAGGTGTGAGCATGGGAGGAACAGAGAGAGGGAGACACAGAATCTGAAGCAGGCTCCAGGCTCTAAGCGGTCAGCACAGAGCCCGATGGGGGGCTTGAACCCACAGACTGAGAGATCATGACCTAAGCTGAAGTCGGAGGCCCAACTGACTGAGCCACCCAGGCGCCCCATTTTTCTTTTTTTTTTAACGTTTATTTATTTTTGAGAGACAGAGAGAGATACAGCATGAGCAGGGGAGGGGCAGAGAGAGAGAGACACACAGAATTCGAAGCAGTCTCCAGACTCAGCTGTCAGCACAGAGCCGATGTGGGGCTTGAACTCACAGACCACGAGTTCATGACCTGAGCCAAAGTCAGACACTTAACTACTGAGCCACCCAGGCACCCCAGTGTTAGCTATTCTTACCATTAAGATGGTTGTAAACTGTTTTTAAGGGGACCAAATTTTGTTGCACATTTATGCCAAGAGTGAGATAGATGTTTTACCAGGTTCTCTCAAGTAATTCTCCCCAATTCTTTGAGGCAGGATTTTATACCTATTTACAACTACTTTATGGCTAAGGGAAAGGAGGCTCAGAGAAGTAGAAAGCACTTTGCTTAATATCACTACCATAGTAATGGCAGAATTGGAATGTGAATCTTGAAGGTGACCATGATTACAAAAACCACGTTTTCCCCCTTGCTGACTGCACGTATTCTGAGTTCATTCAATGTAAGAGAAAGATCTATAAGGGTGAGGATGCTCAGGAAGTACTCATGAAGAAAGTCTGAGCCAGGTATTTTTTTAAAAAGCATTAAGATTAATATTAATGGGGAAGACAGTATCATAGGTGAGTTGATATCAAGTGAGAGAATGAGAGACGTGGATATATTAAAGAGGATAAGATCACTCCAGGTAGTGAGTCTGTGTGAGAAATAGTTGATTCATTACCTAGAAATCTACTATATGCTATGTGCTATCCCAGGCCTTGAGGATATAGAGATAAATTGTGCAGTAAGGGAGGTATATAGATTAGGAAGGCCCCTAGTATGAAAAGCAGTTTAATAATGGTCAGCACAGGGGCGCCTGGGTGGCGCAGTCGGTTAAGCGTCCGACTTCAGCCAGGTCACGATCTCGCGGTCCGTGAGTTCCAGCCCCGCGTCGGGCTCTGGGCTGATGGCTCAGAGCCTGGAGCCTGTTTCCGATTCTGTGTCTCCCTCTCTCTCTGCCCCTCCCCCGTTCATGCTCTGTCTCTCTCTGTCCCAAAAATAAATAAACGTTGAAAAAAAAATAATGGTCAGCACAAAGCACAAAAGGGGGAAGCAAGGAGCACCCAAACAATGGGAAAGTGAGAGGGGTAGGGAAGGCTCTTGAGTGGCTCCTGAGCTGAGGGAAAAGATAGAAAGTGGAGGTACCAGGAACAGAGGTGCATTCCAGGCAGTACAGAAAGGGAAGTGCAAAGACATGGAAGCATGAGAGGGCATGGGGCATCCAGGACACTGAAGAACATATCAGTGAACAGTTCTGGATACACTTGGAGTGGGGACGGGTCTGGTAAGGAATGCACTAGGGGAATCAAAAAATAGCTGTGTTGACAGGCCAAAGAACTGAGATTTTACCTTGAAAGAGGATTTGTGTAGATTTTAAAGCAGAAAATAAATCATTTAGTGACAACGAGGGGGTGCTTTTGGAATGGGTAAGGCTGTCGGTGGGGGCACTAACTGGGAGACTTTAGTTTTTACAAGTAGTTGTAAAATACCAGTAATTGTGACGGAAGACCAGCTAATAGCAACACTTGGTGGAAAAACCAAGAAACTGTATTTGATGCAACAATATACTGAGCGTTGGAGAGGTTAAGTCACCCTACCCACGACGGAGGCTGGCCTCGAACCGGCGCCCTACACCAAAGCCAACGCTCTGGAAGACTACAATTAAAACAGAACATACATCTATGGACAGTGCGGCTGTGTTAGGATGTTAACATTGGGTGAGCCCCCAACTCCCCTCTCCCAGCATTTTGAACGCCGCCACATTGTCTTTGCTTTTATTTTTTTCAGAGTTTTGCACTTTTCGTGGCCCTTGCCCCCTCAGTCCCTCTATACCCCCATAGTGGACGCTTCAGGTCCGCAGCCCTCACCTGGCCCGATCGAGATCCGGACCTGACCATCTCTCGCAGCCTCAGAAAAGCCCAGACGGAGGGAAGTAAAGCCAAATGATAAAAGAAATTAACCGCCGTGGACTCCCGGATCTCCTTGGCCCGCCCCCCGAGCTTCCGCTTCCGGGAAGGAGCCCGCCGAATGTCGCGCCTCATAGTCTCGTGAGTGCTGCCGGGTCGTCTCCGGTACTCCCAGTGCAGCACCCTGAGCTTGCGCAATAGACCCCTCCTGGCGCCTTGCTCGTCACACACTGGCAGAGAAAGCGGGAGAAGTCCACCGAACGCCGCAGGCCGGGCGGGGCGGGGCGGGCCGGGGCGGGGCGGGGAGGGTCCGGGGGGGCGAGGTTGGCGGGAGGGGGCGGGGTCAGCCGGGAGGGGCGGGGCCGAAAGGAGCCGGGCTCCTGAACGCTTGAAAGAACTTCTGAAGAACCGCTACCCTGAATGAGCCGAGGGAAGGGGCGACAAGGACTCTCAAGGGCCAGAGGAAGGGACTGAGGGAGAGGACCAACAGGTTTCAAAAAGAATTGGCTCGGCTCGGTGTTTTGTGTGCCATTTTGAATGATTTTGGTTTTGATAGTCAATAAAAGTCAATCCTTGGTCTGGTTAGCTTTGTGTAATTCTGATTGCAATTTCAGAATTATTCACTGTGGCCCTTGATCTCAGAATGGTGCTCATTAGTTGGGATTTTGTTTTACTTCCATGCATAGTTCGCTCTTCAGTCGAGGTAATTACTGTTAATGAAGAATGACTCCGTATTCTTACATTAGCATGCTTCACGATTTTTAATGGAAATTAGTCTTTGGTGTTTAAGACATTGAGTTTGGGGTTAATGTTTTAAATCATATGGGGAGAAATTAAATAAGCCAACTGATTACATTTTTTAATAAGAAGGGCTAGATTTTGAAAATCTTAATTACAATTAAAATAAAAACTCGGAAACTAAAATCATACTGATTTGGGGAAACTGGGTATTTAATAAATTTAGCTTTGTATTGAATTAGACTTGAAAACCTCTCCCGTCTTCATCCTTCTATAAGTGTTTAACATATTTACTTGAGATTACAGGGTTTTTTCCTTAAGCTGACTTGATTTTTTTAGAAGCTTACATGGATTTTTCTTAATACATGCTTATTTTAGAAAACATAGATAAGAAATAAAAAATCACCCATAATCCCAAAGAGTACCACTGTTAGCAGTTTGGTACATTCCCTTCTAGACTTTTCCCAACTGTGTATATATGTATAAATACATTACAACAATAGGATATGATGCATATTACTGTGAGTGTTTTAATATCTCATCAACATCGCTTCTCAGTAATTTACAATTACAAAATGGCTGCCTGGTGTACCATTTTTCTACTGTTTGGAATTTTATGCTTCTCCCCTCCTTTTTGTTTGTCTGTGTTTTTTTGAGTTTTTCTTTTTTTCTCCCTTTTTAAATTTTTGAGGTAATCGCTTCCAGGGTTTTTTGTTTTTATTTTCTCAAATGTTTTTTTATTGTGGCAAAATACACAAATAATAAAATATACCATCTTAATCATCTTTAAGCACACAATTCAGTGGTACTAAATGCATTTATAATATTGTACAACCATCACCACCATCATCTCCAGAACTTTTTTCATCTTGTGAAAGTGAAATTCTATATGCATTAAACAACACCCCATTCTACTCTCCCCAAAAGCCCCTGGAAACCACCATTGTACTTTCTGTCTCTATGATTTTGACTAAGTACCTCATATAAACAAGATTATACAGTATTGATCCTTTTGTAACTGGCTTATTTCACTTATCTTTAAAAGTTTGTCCATGTTATAGCATATATCAAAATTCCGTTCCTTTTTAAGGCTAAATAATATTTCATTGTGCGTATATAACACGTTTTGTTTAGTTATCTGTTGATGGACACTTGGGTTGCTTCCATATTTTAGCTATCATACGTATTGTTGCTCTGAACATGTGTGTACCAATATCTCTGCTGGACCCTGCTTTCAATTTTGGGGAGTATATATTCAGAATTGCTGGATCATATGGTAATTCTATTTTTAACTTTTTGAGGAACTGCTATACTGTTTTCTATATGGCTGTACCATTTTATATCCCCGCCAACAGTGATAAGGGTTCTAATTTCTCCACATTCTCCCCACCACTTGTTTTCCATTTATTTTGTTGTTTATTTTTTGGTTTTGGTAGTAGCCACCCTAATGAGGGTGAGGAGGTATTTCATTGTAATTTTGATTTGCATTTCCATAATGATTAGTAATGTTGAACATCTTTTCTTGTGATTATTGGTTATTTGTGTATCTTCTTTGGACAAATATCTGTTCAAGTCCTTTGCCCATTTTCTCTTATTCTGTGGGTTGCCTTTTTACTCTCTTGATACTGTCTTTTGATGTACAAACTTTATTTTCATGAAGTTTTCAATTCATCCATTTTTCTTTTGTTGCCTGTGTCTTTAGTGTCATATCCAAGATATCCATGGCAAAGCCAATATCATGAAATTTGCCTTATGTTTTTTCTAAGATTTCTATAGTTTAAAGTCTTATTTGTAGGTCTTTGATCTAGTTTTAGTTAATTTTTGTGTACAGTATCAGCTAAGGGTCCAACTTCATTCTTACATGTAGCTATCCACTTTTCCTGGCATCCTTTGTTCAGAAAAGTACGCGTTTTTCATTGAATTGTCTTTTGACAATGTATGTAAGGGGTTATTTCTGGACTATCTACTCATTGGTCTGTATATCTGCCATTACCCCTGTACCACGCTGTTTTTTTATTTCTGCTAAAACTGTCGCTGGGATTATGATAGGGATTAAGCTGTAAATCTCTTTGGGTAATACT